TGATGTATCCTAAACCATTATGCATTATAATTATTCTTTTTAAATTTTGGTCAGAAACAACCTCTAATCCTCAACAAATAGCTATTTTCTTTAATATTCTCTCCTTCCCCTTCCTTTCTTTTTCCCTATTCCTCTTTTTGTTCTTCTTTTCTTCCTCCTTTTTCCTTTTAGATTCCATATCTTTGAAAGTGTGGATCACTATCAAATGTGCATTTGAATGTATAAGTAATTCTTTTCATAGGCATGTGTTGACTTTATTAGGGTTAGTTCTTTTTTTTGGCAATGACCTGCAGGTTACGCTAGTTTTTATATACATTCATATATATATATATAAATATATACATACATATCTTATTGTTATTGTAATTGTGATGTAAAGAAGGGTTACATTTACATAAGTCAAGTAATGAATACATTTCTTCTTGAACAACATCACCTCTCCCAGTTTTTCCCTCCCAACTCCACCCACAAGTTGTATAGTTCATTTTCAACATAGTGTCTAATGAGTACCACTGCTGCATTTGCTCACCCTTTGTCTCACCCTTTCTGTATCCTTCCTTATCCCCACGAGACAGATAAACTAACCAACACGATAAAAGGTAAAGAAAATAAAAACACAAGAAAAGCCCACAAAAAACTCTCATTTCATTTTTTGAAATAAATTTCAATAAATATTATTTTATATGATCATATGCACATAGCTGTTGAACTTTTGTGATCCTATCCTAAGAATATCCTCCTTTGGTCTCACTATGTGACTATCTAGATTTCTTGTAGGAGTCAAAATACATTATTGAATATAAAAAGATGGCAGGAAAACAGGTGGTAATGAAACAGACTGGAATGTTCTACTCAGTCTAAAGAAAGTAAAACAAGGCACACTAGCAGTCATGCTAAGAGCAGAGAAGTTTGCATACTACACTGTATTGGCTGATCAGTCTGTCATGAGAAAAAGATAAACTGTAGCATTCAGGTCTGCAGTTACCTCATAAATGTGCATCCACAATTAAACACAGTTGTATTTGTAGGAGATGAACTGCATTAGGAAACAAGGAATAATTTTTCTTTGGTGTGGCATTGAATAAATTAGACTTGAAGCTGAAAGATTTGTAATGTAACAGAGATTGGGTAAAGAGCAAAAATCTTGCAGATCTTGGCTCAGTAATTGGGAAAAATGTTCTAATAATCAGAAGGTCTGAAAATTGAAATAGGTGATTTTTCTAAGCCTGTTAACTTCAGTCATTGGAAAAAATTAAAACAGAAGTTGGATTCAGGTCAATGCCAAATTATATAAAACTTTAAGCAAATTAGGATATACCCTGTCTGGTAAACTTAATAAAAGTGCCGTCCTTCTATATGGATATAGTTCTGAACAGAGAAGGGCTTTCAGCTTCTACTTTTCTCTTTAGATAATAGCCTCATATAGTGTCTTCTTATTAAAATGACATAGATCAACTTACAGAACTAAGTATGAATTAGGAACTGATGCCATCCATGGCTTATAAGACTCAATTTCCAAGTATAATTTTGATATAAGTCAACATTTTAGCTGTCTCAGTCTCCACACAGGTAAACATCATGCTTTAATCAAAAGTTATATAAGAATGTCAGTCTTCATTTGTATCTCTCAAAAACCATTAAATGTGATCCAGTTTATAACCTGAACAATATTTCCCCAAAGACTCTTACCTCACTCAATCCTGGCCCAGTTCCCTTACATTTCATCATTGTTCCAGGGACTCTCATATGCCAACCCTTGAAAGTCTCTCTGAAGCTTCAATCCATGTGGTTTTCTACCTATCTTGTGCCTCCCTGTTCCTCCTGCACTTTCCATTAAGGTTTTCCTCTATCCACATTGCAAATTTTATAACAGGGGAATGGACTGGTGATGAAGAGAGAACTTTTGCTAGAACATGAAGAGAACTGGGTGAAGTTGAGTAAGCAGATCAAATCTTTCCTCATCTATCTCTGATTCTTGTTCCCTTTCTGCCCATTTTCCTGATTCTTTCACAGCACAGTGTAAAAATTAGGCTGAGATGGATTAAGTGATTTTGGGGTAATTTCAGGAATAGTACTGTGATAATAATGATCAACTGGATCCTACAGTCAGTAGACCTTTCCACAAGATCCTAAGGAAAATGATAAAGCAATATCTTCAAATAACTGCTACTCAAAACATTTACAGTCTTGTAAGCCAAACTCAATAGAATCACATGGATAGATTTTAAAGAAGAAAATCAATATGCCATAAAAACTACTACAGCTCTACATCCATGAAAATCTTAAAGGGTTGATGATAATATAGCACGCAATGAACTCTGGGAAGCCCAGGAAGGATTCATGGAAAAGAAAAATAGTAGACGTTTAGATGGTGTAAGAGATTAGAGAACTGGGAACTCAATATAGAAGAAAATTAGGGAAATTAATATTAGGCTGAGAAGTCAAAGTAGAATGGAATACATAAAGAGTGTTCTTATCCACTGAAGCAAAGGGTTTAGGCAGATGCAAAGCCTTTTTTCCTCAATGGTAATAAACTTTCTCCCCCTCTGAGCTCCTGTATTAATTATTGTATGACTTTATTATTAATTTACTCTATTTTCCCTAAAGTTAGATTCACATTTTCCTATTTTCTTCATCAAATGATTCTTAATACAGAGTCAATCACTACTCCATCCTTATGCAGAATCCTCTAGTAGGAACACTCTTCCCACAAGAATCTACTGGATTATAGCCTTTCATATATTATCTCAAATATACATTTATTTAATAAAATTTTACTGGCCTAAATAGAGTTGAAGAGATACCAACTACAAGAGACTAGAGATGGGCCATATTGCTTTTACTAACAGCTTTAAGACTGATATTGGAAGTTGCAAAAATTGAAACAGCAATGCAGTGACCAAAGGGATGATTTAAGAATAAATTTTCTACTGGTCCTCATCTGAGATAGAAGAAAATAAATTCATCTTTTTAATTTAAAGCTGTTGTACTAGATGTGTAACAAGAGGCACCCCATATAGATAATATGTAATAAGGTACCTTCGTCATTAAAATTTTTGAATAAATAATTTTAACCTCCTAGAATTTTATGAGTGCAATCTTATTTCTGTACAGAAATCTCTTCATAATGTTTCCTTTGTTGATTAGAAATATTGGGGGAAAAGATTTATTTTAAATTTTAGGATTTTTTTTTTTGCCAGGCCTGGGGCTTGAACTCAGGGTCTGGACACTGTTGAAAGCTAGCACTCTACCACTTGAGCCACGGTACCACTTCTACCTTTTTTTGTTTATGTGGTACTGAGGAATCGAACCCAGAGCTTCATGCAGGCTAGGCAAACACTCTACCACAGCCCCAGCCCCTTTAGGATTTTTTCTTCTTTTTTTTTGGGTCCGGTCATGGGGCCTGAACTCTGGGCCTGGATGCTGTCCCTCAGCTCTTCAGCTCAAAGCTAGCGCTCTACCACTTGAGCCACAGCACCACTTCCGGCTTCTTTCTTTTTGCTTATGTGGTGCCTCATGCATGCAAGGCAAGCACTCTAGCACTGGGCCACCTTCCCAGCCCCCACTTTAGGAAATTTTTGACTAAGAAACTTTCAATACTAATTGTTAGCTGAATTTCTCCTCCCTCTTAGTCATAAAGTATTTTAGAAGTGCTAGCAGTAATGTGATTTTAAAGCTTCTACATAGATCCACCTGTTCATGTGAATTCTCTGTGTGTGTGTGTGTGTGTGTGTGTGTGTGTGTGTGTGTGTGTGTGTGTGTCTGTGTCTGTGTATGTTCAGTTTAACTAGGTTTTGAATTCAGGGCCTGGTTGCTGTCCCTTAGCTTTTTGCTCAAGGCTATCACCTTTACTCCTGTAAAGTAAAGTAAAGCCACAGCTTCACTCCTGGATTTTTGGTGGTTACTTGGAGATCAGAGTCTCAAAGACTTTCTTGCCTGGGCTGGCTTTGAACTGTGATCTTCAGAGCTCAGTCTCCTGAGTAGCTAGGGTGATGACAGGTGCGAACCACTGGCACCTAGCAGCGAAGTCTTCATTACTAAGATTTAACACGAAATTTTAAATGATTGAAATTACACAAGTAATAGCTGTTGATTGATGATTTTCACCAAGTTTTCAGTTATTTCTTTTCATTTTCTAAGTGTAAGTTCATGACTTAGATGAATTTCTTCTAGTATAGAATTCATGCAGTATGTAAAAAAAAGATTAATGTTTATGAGGGAATAGCAACATAAAGTGTTAACAGTAGATTAAATAGATCAGTTGAATCTAAGTTTTAATACCAAAAAATAGAATATTACAACTTAGGCTCTGAACAGCACCCCTTCCCCTCCCAAAAGAAATTATGTAAATAGAGAACAACACCCCCTTCTCCTCTCTCCCCCACACGCACACACATTAAGTTAAAGAGACTTCAAGCCAACCGTTTTAAAGATACATTATTCCTCAACAAATTTCAGTTACAATAGCATTAAGTATGTGAACTATACAATTTAGGGAAATGGTTGAAGAAAACTGAATGATCAGCTTTAGAGACAAAGAAAAGTCTCCAGCCACATATGTTTGTTCATTTTGATACTTATTTTCTAAGCCCAGGAGATAGAATATCAGTTTGCTTTTATGAGAACTAGCCATTCCTTACCCAGACAGCAGGGCAGTGGCTGGCTGTATGTGTTTGTGTGAGTGAAGACTTCATCTATCGGAGAAGAAAGATCACAAGGACATTCCCAGTGCCTTGTCATGTTTCTGAATCTTGTAGACTGGAAGTTCACTGGATCTATTGAAAATACATACCTCCCAGAGAAGCGTGGCTGGATTCTCTGTCTATATTTTGTACAACAGATCCTTTTGGCAGAGCTATGGTTTCCAATAGCCTGTAGGGAGGGACTGGGCTAGCTGGATGCTTCCTGGTTTCATTAGCATAGCCCAGCCCACTTCTAACACACGCCCAGAGCTACCTCATTAACCATTGGGATTTCAGCCAAAAACATAAAGCTCCAGTGAATATAAACGGAATTACTGGCGAGAGAGCTGGAGACCAACTTACCACTGAACCCATTCCTTTTCCAAGATCAGAAAAAAAATAACAGGAACCATTTCTCATTCAGATAAGAATTCAAGGTTTATATCTATAATTTTTGTCTACAATAATTAACGGCACCATAGTAAGACCGACAGCCCAGCTGTATCCATTTAAGTGTTTCTGTTAATCTCTCTCTCTCTCTCTCTCTCTCTCATTTATTTATTTTCTGAGTAGCTTTGACATTGTAAACCACAGACGAATTGGAGCCTGGCATTTGAAAGGAGGTGTTCTGCCACAGATTTCTTTTCCTCCTTGTCTGAAGAAGTTGACTGTTACAAGAGAGAATCTGAAAAATGACAGGGGCTAAGAGGAAAAAGAAAAATGTGCTGTGGAGCAAGATGCATACCCCCCATTGTGAAGACATCAAATACTGGTGTAGAAAGAGGCTCCCTATTTTGGAATGGGCACCACATTACAATCTGAAGGAAAACCTGCTTCCAGACATTGTGTCTGGGGTAATGTTGGCAGTTCAACAGGTGACACAAGGTAATGTACTCCTTCTGTTTTATTTTCTTCCAATTTTATGCAGAATAGATGTCACTTTGCTTTTTGGAAAGGTATTGTAATGGGAGTGACAGTGTGATTAACGAAATGGATATCAACTTTGGGAAAATAAGTAGAGTGTATGTATATCTCTGGTATAATTGCTTTAAAATTTTATTAGCAATTAAGTGTCAAACCAAAATTTGAATGGCATTGCATACTTGTGATGTTCAGATGCATTCTGGGGTAGAATTAAAAAAAATCAGTAATTGTGGGAAAACGAGCTTTTCTAACCAGAACTTGCTGGGGTATTTTCCTACCTTCATAGACTCTAGCTGTAAAATATCTCCTGTTTTGAATGCAATTGTTTTTGAACCTAAGTAACAGCACAAAATTACCTGTTGCAGCCTTGAGGGTTGCTGTAAGAAGGGAGCAAAGCTTTCTGTACATAAAGAAGGCTCTTTGCCAAGATCATTATTTGCAAAGAGAATCTTCTGTATCCTTAGAGCTTATGTTTTACTGTGTGTGTAGGTTTACTTCTGTATCACATTACCTGCCGCATTTATATCTCAATAAGAAGTTTAACCTGGTGAGAACTCTGATTTTAACTTTCCCAAGGCAGATTCTAAATGATACTCTGAGTTTAGATAGTGTTTCTCTTTGTGACAGATACCTAAAGTGTGTGTGTGTTTATTTGTGAAAGTGTGTGTGTGTGTGTGTGTGTGTGTGTGTGTGTGCAGACGTGTGCACACACATGTGTGTTTTCCCTAAAGGCCTATGCATCACAAGTTTTTGCCTAATTCCCGTAATAACTTTCTACTTTAGTAAGAACAGGAATTGATGTATCCATTTCTCATCCTTAAGTTTTGGGGATTGTTCTCTTGGCATAGAGTTTATAGATTTACATTCTTTGCAGTTTTCCTACCTCCATGGCTTTAACAATTATTTATTCTGTTAAATTATAAGCACTCATTTAATTAAGTTATCCTGTAGCTAAAGCTAACTGATTTGTGTATTTGTGTTTTCAGTATGATGAGGAACATCTGCCTTGGTAGCTCTACTTCACATCCATAGTGCTATCATACTTTATGGGATTCTGTTTCACTGCACAGTCTTGCATTACACATTTAATGACTATTCTGCCAATAGCAAAGCATAATAATCTTTCAGAAAAATGCAAAGTTAATAACTGGTTAGGGCACTCTTGGCCTTGTTTTTATTTGATTTTAAATTCCAAATGAAAAGCCACTCTGTCATTGGAAAACTTAGGTGATAGACTTAAAAGAGGGTATTCTCTAGATAGTTTCAGCATATGTTATACATTTATTTGGTTCCAGTATAATGTAAAATGAAAGAGAATTATGGTTTTAGTTTTCTTTATTTTTAAAAGAGAGCCAGGCAAATAAGATTTGGGGATATGATAAAGTTTTCTTTGTCTATCATTATTGATACAGTTTAAGGGTAAGCCTTTGGTAGTGGATGGGTTGGCTTTCATTTGGATTTGGGTTTTGGAGGATTCTGTGTTCCAAGTAAGTATCTCACTAGTTGTGAAGAAACATGATGAGTGCCCAGCTGATGAGAAGCACAAAGCTCACTCAGCATTCATGTGATGGGAGCTCATGGAGCTAGCTGCTAGGTGCCTTGGAAGACGCTCATGGAACTGACAAGTTACAAGATATATTGACAAGGTACACTACATTGCTATGAAGAACATAGGGGCTTTTGTTGGTATACAAAAAAGATGAATCTTCCTCAAAGTTACCTAAACACAGTTCTCTCTCGTTTTTCATTCTCATCTACTATGGAGAGTTAAGTAGTGAACTACTGTAAAGCTACATTTCTTGTGGGGGCATTGGACTAACCCTTTACCTATATTGTCCCTTGATCCTAAAACAATTCTGAGACAACAGTTTCCTTCCATGTATGGAAATGGAGGTTTAGAAGAGTAAGGACCTTTCACTGGACCTCCTACCTGAGATGTGGTGGAGTCAGGACTCCATTCCAAAGCCAACATGCCTAACATTTCCACTTTGTACTCCTACACTGCCAAAAACAATGAACTTCTCATAATGCCAGTGTTATTGGTAATAGGAGACATGTCTTTGGAAAAATAAGAATATTCTTCCCTTCAAATTACTTTTGCATCTAAGTTTCATCCTTGCAGTTTTCAGAATGAAAGGCAAAATGACAAGAAACATAACTATAGAAGGACACAAAGTAAGGATGGTATTTTGTTACTATTAACTCCTGTTTGGATGAATATAACATTGGTGATTAGCATCAGTTCCATTTCTAAAAGAAAGAAGGGGTAATGCTTGCTCTTGAATAATAATACAGGCAGCAGAAAAAAATACCCTTTTTTAAACTTTATTGATATTTAAAACAACTTTTCAATCACTAACTAAATTAGAAGAAATGATTGAATCCAATGTTTGTTGACCTACAAATCTGGAAAGTTAATGATTCAGTCTCATCACTGCTTTTCATTCTCTCATCTCCAGAAATGGAGTTAAAGTCAAGGAAAATAATGAAAGCTAGCACTTGAGTATTTCCAATAAGTCAAATACCAAAGAGTCGTTTTTAATTATTTTGTTTATTTAATTATTTAGCTGTTTCTGTGGGTGTATTGAGGTTTGAGCTCAGGGCTTTGTGCTTGCTAGGCAAGTACAGTTCCAATTGAACCATGCCCCTAGCCCTTTTTTTCTTTAGTTATTTTTCAGATAAGGAAGGTCTCATGCTTTTTGCTGGAGCTGGTCTCAGATACTGATGATCTCACCTGTGCTTTTCTTGTACCTGGGACAAGCATGAGCAACTTCATCCAGCAAATTATATTACTTAACATTTTGTAGCTGTGAATGGCTTATGCTTTTCATTTATCAATATACCTGATTCCTCTAGGTATTTCTTACATGTGCTATACTACTTTGGGGCCTTTTTTTTTCTCGGTTTTAAGGTACCATTCTTGTTTTCCTCCTGTTACTTCTCTGGTGTATTCTTCTCAAAGAGGCTCTGTGATTTTGCCTCCTAGTCTTCCCCTTAAACATTAGTCTTGAAGATTCAAATCATGATCTTCCTCTAAAAGCATCCTAGATGATTTCATCTGCATGAAGGACTCTAGCCACTACCACTGTGTGAATGAAACATTCTTCCTTCCCATACTTACTCATAGAAACCTCCTTGTTCTGAAATCATGTCTAATGGGACATTTGATCTTCTAAAATAAGTAATCTTCAAGCACAAATGTGAGCCATGCTGCCAGGCCACTTGGCATATATACACAAGGGAAACACAGAGAAAGATAAATAACTTCCTGAAGCCACACAGCAGATGAGGGTAAGATTTGAATTTAAGTAACCTGATTCCAGAGAGCATGCTATCATCTTTGTACTAGAATTACTCTTACAGGAAGTCCTGTGAGTCATTGTGGAGCTTTCCTTCTATCCCACCACCCTCCTCACTCAACATCAGTCATTAACTTCTTTCATTTATCTCCTCTAAATGTCTTTCCAACCAAGTGGTCTTGTTCTATGGTGTATGTGCTATCCGATTGCGCTGTCTGAGTTGACATTAGCCTCCTGTACATCTTTAGTCTCTGCCCTGTCCCTGCCTATAGGCCATATTCCATACTACAGCTGAATAATAATAATAATAATAATAATAATAATAATAAAACAATGTGACCAGATTGCTTCTCTCCCTGTTCATAATCTTTAATGGCTTTCTGTTTCCTTTGGCTATAAACCTGATTCTTGAGCACATCCTATGAGATGGTAAGCTAATCTGGGCTTTTTTTATATAAAAATCTCTTCTGAGAAGCATTCAGTCTCATGGGAACATGTCTGTTTTCTTCTCAGTTACTCCCTTTGTGCCTTTCACCTATCTCCATGATACGCTTCGTGTAACACATTGTATTACAAACTTTTGGCACAATGTTTTCTGCACTGATCTGTGAACTTTGGAACCAAAGACAATGTCTTTGGCTTTATAGTCTTACCAACTTGCATCCTATGAAGTGCATACAAGTAACTTCTCAACATATAGGATATATTAGGATATTCTACAGGGAGAATATTATCTAAATACACTATATGCATGATGAGAATGTCATAATAGAACACACTCAAAATTTGTAAAATCATGGAGAAGTTGGGAAGGGGGGATGAAAGTGTAATAGATGGGTGACAATGATTAATATGCTCATGTGGAAATATCACAATGAAACCTCTCTCATTGGACAATTATTACAAGCTACTAAAAATGTACAGAAAAAGACATGTTATAAACTATGGACTGTGCAGTGTGCTACAACCATAAGAAAGAAGCATGCTGACTTTCAACTAGTTTTTAGGTTTTACAAAGAAATATAATAAAGTTGCAGATAGTAGAAAACTACATAGAATTAATGAGTAATTGGTTTCTTCCAACTTATATTCATTTCACATAGTTATAAATTTGCTGCCCTCTGAACCAATCTGCTAAATGGTATGAATTCTTTGTCCCAAGCAATGTTTTCTTCAACCAACATTAACAAATGTAGCTAGTTGATATAAAAATACAGATACTTAGTTTCTCTCACAAAAGAAAAGACATGGCCATACAGAGCACACATTCCCCACAGGAATCTGGATGCTCTCATTAGAAGCCTCCCCTAGAAACTTTGCATTTTGCACAGTCTCTACAACCCACTCTTCTGCCATGCTTCCTGCTTACTCTTGTGGGTGGCTGAGGATTTTTTTTTTCCATTTGCAAATATATTTTCTTTCAAAATTTTTTTATTTTACATTTTTATTATTATCTTTATGTAATGGTACAAAAGAGTTGCCATTGAACAGAGCAGTTTCTGAATACAATCAATCTTGATCAGTTTCACTCCTTTCAATATTCTCACTCTTCCCTCCACTACCCACTGCTTCTCTCAGCTTCCAAATTTATACGATATTCATTAGATTCTTGACTTCAATGCCCTCCTATTCTCTTTTTCATTTGCCTATGTGTTTTTTTGG